CACACGTAGGAATGAGACGATGATCACGACATCTCTTCAAGAAAGTTAACGATGTTAATAATCTTGCGCGCTTTGTCTTTAGATCTTCTAACCGGCGTATCTTGTTTGCGGTTTCCAGTCCGTACTGGTTCACATAATACTTTCTTAGATTTACGCGAATGTTTGACATTATTAAATAAAACTATCTTTTCGGATTATTTCGCGGATTTATTTTGATTTTTGGTTCCCGACGTTTCGAATGCTTTACAGCATCCATGGTCACGGGAGAGACTGAGGTGTTACATGTCTTAAAGATATAGTTGTTACAGACAGCCTACCCACAATCAACAAAATGAAAATTGCACCAATTACATTACAATATTTTTAACTTTAAACATTTTTATAATTTTAATTATAATTGAATATGGAAAATTATTTATTTAATTTTTGCTATTATTTTTATAGTTATTACAATTTTAAAAATATTAATTAGTAATCTATATTTAGTGTTGCCATTATTATATTTATAACCATAAAGAAAAATAATAAATATAGTATTAATTATTTAAGCCCTATAATTGTTCAATGTGTAATTTAAAAAAGTTAAAATTAATTAAGGATTATAATTTTAATTTAGTTTGCTATTATTTAAAAACAAACTTACTAAGCAACACTATTAATATATACTTTTACAAATGAAAAATGAAAAATATCAATCTGATAAGCTGTCATTTTGATCTACACAGTATGAACTTACTACATCTGCCTGTCTGTTATGTTTATATTTATTATTTGATTTTATTATATTAATAACAGGATCCCATGACGATGGTAGTACCCAGCCATCTTCCCTATTGAAATTTGGATGTTTTTTAATTTCTATGGCTTCTCGAATCATTCTAGGGCGATATCGGTTTTCTTTCGCCAGGAATTTTTTTTTTATTTTTAAATAATTTTCCATATTCAATTATAATTAAAATTATAAAAATGTTTAAAGTTAAAATATTGTAATGTAATTGGTGCAATTTTCATTTTGTTGATTGTGGGTAGGCTGTCTGTAACAACTATATCTTTAAGACATGTAACACCTCAGTCTCTCCCGTGACCATGGATGCTGTAAAGCATTCGAAACGTCGGGAACCAAAAATCAAAATAAATCCGCGAAATAATCCGAAAAGATAGTTTTATTTAATAATGTCAAACATTCGCGTAAATCTAAGAAAGTATTATGTGAACCAGTACGGACTGGAAACCGCAAACAAGATACGCCGGTTAGAAGATCTAAAGACAAAGCGCGCAAGATTATTAACATCGTTAACTTTCTTGAAGAGATGTCGTGATCATCGTCTCATTCCTACGTGTGTGAAAATATCTTCCAAAAAGAACATACGAGGAAGCGCTAAGATCGTAAACCAGGCAAGTTTTAAGTTGTTACGGACAGTGATTCGACAAAATCGCCGCGATCTACGCAGAAACGACCGGGACATTGAACAGACGTCTAATATTGTTAAGACAGTATTGACACCATCTGATTTCAACGATTGCATTGACACTTTAAATAAGCGTGAAACAACCAAATATAATCAGTGCAAAATTAAACATATTTTAAAATATCAAAAACTCGTTGAAAAATTAAACATCAAAAAGAAAAAGAAAACCATAGAGTATAACGGAACGCGCCCGTCTACCACAGATACACACTTGTGCGGACCTCAAACTGTTGTCAATCTGTCAAAACAAACGTTGGACGAACCTACTATTCGGGTACTAAATAAAGGTTTGAATTTTGCTGTAACGCCTACGCGCATTCCTTATGAAAACATTATTTGCGCAGTTGAAGATGCCCTGGCCCAAAACAATATGAAAACTGAGGATATGGAGGCCATACGTCAAGATGTTTCGTCTTTATTACGTCGTAGTACTAGGCCCAAACCAAACCTCAATAAACAAGAGTATTTAGCGTTGAAGAACCTACGCAATAGGTCAGACATCACCGTTCTACGCGCAGACAAAGGAAATGCAACCGTTGTGATGGATACATCAGATTATAATGATAAAATTAAACAACTTTTGTCGGACGAGAGCACGTACAAAAAGGTTAAAACTGATCCAACTACCACCGTTTTAAATAATACTAAAAAGCTAATTAAGGAACACTCCGACACATTAAATCTTGATGTTAAAAATCTTATTCCATCATGTGCAAAACCACCTAAGTTGTATGGACTTCCGAAAATACACAAGACCAACGCTCCGCTACGTCCAATTGTGAGTCAGATCGACTCACCGACTTACAAATTGGCTAAACTAGTAGCAAAAGTACTCTCACCACTCAGAGGATTAACAAGAGCGTTCACAAAGGACTCTTACCATTTTGTCAATGAAGTTAAACACCTAAAACTCATGGACAATGAAACAATGGTTAGTTTCGATGTACAGTCTTTATTTACCAGCCTACCAGTGGAAGACTGTATTGAAATAATATCTAGGAAGCTACTAGATCACAACATGTCAATAGAATACATTGAACTTTTAAAACACTGCCTAACATCTGGCTATCTACTGTGGAATGGTGAATTCTATAGGCAAGTGGATGGAGTGGCCATGGGTTCGCCAGTCTCCCCCGTCGTAGCCGACATCTTCATGGAGGACTTCGAGGAGACTGCTCTGAATACATCACCCGTGACCCCTCGTTTCTACAAGCGGTATGTAGATGACACTTTCACAATATTACCATCTGATAAAATAACTGTATTCTTAGAACACCTTAATTCTATAAATCCTAAAATACAATTTACAATGGAATTAGAATCAGACAATACCTTAGCTTTCCTAGATGTATTAGTTAAACGTAACACAGATAACACCTTGAGTCATACTGTGTATAGAAAGAAGACCCATACTGATAGGTACCTGAACGGTGAATCTCACCACCATCCTTCACAGTTAGCTACCGTGGGAAAATCTTTGTTTCAGAGAGCGCGCGGGATCTGTGACGAGCAACACCTGGCCGGAGAACTGCAACATGTCAAGCAAGTTCTGCGTGACAACAAGCTGCAAGTGCCGCGCCTGCGTCACAGTGACCGAGTAAAACCAGCCACAGTCGAGCGCGTCCCTGCAGTCTTGCCATACATGAAAGGAGTCACTGACAAGATTGGCTACATTCTAAAGCGAGCTTCAATTAAAACTTACTTCAAGCCGCCAAAGAAAATTAGTCAGTTCTTACCACCTGTCAAGTGCCACATCCCTCTACAAGATGCAGGAGTTTACAAGCTTGATTGTGATTGTGGGCTCTCTTACATTGGACAAACAAAGCGATCCATTAGAACCCGGGTCAAAGAACACATAGCTGATGTGAAGCACCGTCGCAATACAACATCTGCTGTCTGTTAAACATAGCCAGGACCGCCCAAGCCATTATATTCGTTTCGATAGACCTCAAATCCTGGCGAAAGAAAACCGATATCGCCCTAGAATGATTCGAGAAGCCATAGAAATTAAAAAACATCCAAATTTCAATAGGGAAGATGGCTGGGTACTACCATCGTCATGGGATCCTGTTATTAATATAATAAAATCAAATAATAAATATAAACATAACAGACAGGCAGATGTAGTAAGTTCATACTGTGTAGATCAAAATGACAGCTTATCAGATTGATATTTTTCATTTTTCATTTGTAAAAGTATATATTAATAGTGTTGCTTAGTAAGTTTGTTTTTAAATAATAGCAAACTAAATTAAAATTATAATCCTTAATTAATTTTAACTTTTTTAAATTACACATTGAACAATTATAGGGCTTAAATAATTAATACTATATTTATTATTTTTCTTTATGGTTATAAATATAATAATGGCAACACTAAATATAGATTACTAATTAATATTTTTAAAATTGTAATAACTATAAAAATAATAGCAAAAATTAAATAAATAATTTTCCATATTCAATTATAATTAAAATTATAAAAATGTTTAAAGTTAAAATATTGTAATGTAATTGGTGCAATTTTCATTTTGTTGATTGTGGGTAGGCTGTCTGTAACAACTATATCTTTAAGACATGTAACACCTCAGTCTCTCCCGTGACCATGGATGCTGTAAAGCATTCGAAACGTCGGGAACCAAAAATCAAAATAAATCCGCGAAATAATCCGAAAAGATAGTTTTATTTAACGATATCTTGAGGTTAAAGGTAGGCTTAGAGTCAGAGGGTAATAAACATTTTATTGCATAACATCTGGGGCGAGGCGTTGCTTTAAAAGAGATTTATTTTTATTATTATTGCTATAAATTTCTTCCTTTTGTGCCTAATGGATGGTACATATTAAATATATCAGTAATAAATTTTAAATAGCCTGTAATTTTAATATGGTATAAATCTTATAATATTAACATACTTTTTTAAATATGGCAGTAAAGCTGTGGAATTATTTGAAATATTAAATGTTTATTGACAGTCAATGTTCTAAATATCGATATTATTTTGTAAATGATAAAAATCGATTACCGTGTAGATGATATACTAATAATGTTGAAAATCGAAAGTTATCGGACTACTAATATCAATCAATACTGAAAATATGGCTGGACGAATTTAGATGAAATTTAATACACGAATGGATTATGACCTGGAGTAACACGTATATTGCTACTTGGCACACAGATAAATAAAATTGAAGCGTCTGTGTGTAATATCAAAATAACAGCTTTTTACTAAATGAATATGAAATGATATACAGTAATTATAAGAAAAACACAATTGTTAAATTGTTTGTCTGTCTGTTTATTCCGGCTAATCTTCGAAATGGCTGGACTGCTTTTGACGGCACTTTCACTGGCAGATAGCTGATGTTATAAGAAGTAGCTTAAGCTACTTTTATTTTAGAAAAAGTATTAGGATTGCGCTCAATAAAATTAAAACCTAACTAGGGACGCACCCGAGTGAAGCGAGGGTAAGTCGCTAGTATGAAATAAAATGAAAATGAACAATGAAAATTATACCCATTTTTCGCAGTTGGAACGACTCGGCTTTACAACGAAGGGTGTGTGGCGGGTGACGGCCGCGAACGCGGACTACAAGCTATGTCCCTCTTACCCGCCCCTCCTCATCGTGCCCGCGAGCATCTGTGATGAGGACTTAGAGTTCGTTGCACGGTAATATTAATAAGTAATAATACAATAATAACACTATGTAATATTGTATTATATTCATTAATCTGGTTGTAGATCTAGGTCCTGGATTTGTAGTCCGGGTTAATCGAAAACCAGCGTGGGCCCTGGAATGTCAGGCTAAGTGGCCTTTCTATTTGTGACGTTGTACAGATATTGCTGGTTTTTAATTATTATTGTTTAATGATATTGTTATTTAATGTTTTTATTTGTTATCGGCGTACGTCCATATAAAATTTTATTCATTTATTAATTATAATAGCTTTAGTAATAAATAAAACTGTTTACAGTCACTTCCTTTATATCTAATGTTACATATTAGTGAAAGCCAGTATCGCAAGTATCATAATGCCTCAGTGCCATGCTCTGTGCTTTTTTGTCCAAAGACAAATTTAGCGAAAGAGATTTTAATTTTAAATCAGAATTATTGACTTTTAACTATCAATTCTATTGGTATAAAATGTGTATTTTTTATTTAAAAGAATTCGAAAAGATATATTTTATCTATATATGTATATAGATTTTAAAAATATTTTTTTTAAATAGGAAGAAAAATACTTTACTGTAAAATACAATAAGTATTGGTGGTTTGAACAAATAACTGAGGCAATGATAAGTAGATTGATAAAGGAAATTTCATTCAATTATTCATATTGGAACACAAACAGACATTTTCTACGAGTGATATTAATTATTATTGTTTTTATTTAATACTTTCTTAGGTTTACGCGAATATTTGACCTTTTTAACAAAACCATCTCTTCGCGGATTTATTTTGATTTTTGGTTCCCGACGTTTCGAATGCTTTATATACACCATTGGTCGCGGGAGAGACTAATGCTTTGATTGCGTGATCGTAAATCTGCGAATGAATTCGAAAAGATAGTTTTATTTAAAATATTGTTTATATATATATATATATATATATATATATATATATATATATATATATATATATATATATATATATATATATTGAGAGATAAAAAATAACAATTCGCATATCAGGTTCCGTGCAATGCGACGTATCCCGGCGGTGGTTTGGCGGCACCGCGGCACGGGCGCGGTGATCGCGCGCGCGTCGCAGCCGGAGGTGGGCTGGCTCGGCTGGCGCTCCAGCGAGGACGAGCGGCTGCTGGCCGCCTTCGTGGCCGCCTGCAACCAGGACAGGGCCACGCCCAACAAGGTTGGTTTGAATTGTTTAATACTTCTTTTTTATCTTTGGTTTTGTTTACGTTTATGTGCTTAGATTGATGGCTTCAAATTATTAATTTTTTATATAGATGCCTCATCCCATACAAAGATATTGGACAGCGCTAGTTCAGGCTATTCTTTGGGATATTTTTGTTTCCTTGAATAGATAATAATTAATAGATGTCATTGATTCGCAAATAGTTAAACTGTTTTATTTTATAAATATGTGCAAAACTAACGAATGGTAAATATTGTAAAATTCACTTTGCTTCGAATAAAATTATGTTAATTTAATCGTTTTGTTTTCTAATATATTTTATAAATCCCATTGGTTTGTGGAAGCTGTGGTCCTCTATAATCAGGGTGGCTAGTAGCTATCCTCTATTCACCATGATTAAGACACACGCATAATTAATTATTTAAAACATATAAGTATTAATTAATAATCTAAAAAATAAAATATAATAAGTTATATAAATAAACAAACAAAATGCCCACCCGCAGCAACTGAAGCTGCTGATAGTGGACGCGCGGTCGTACGCGTCGGCGGTGACCAACCGCGCGCGCGGCGGCGGCTGCGAGTGCGCGCAGTACTACCCGCACGCCGACATACAGTTCATGAGCCTGCCTAACATACACCACGTGCGCCGCAGCTTCCAGCAGATGCGGCTGCTGGCCGCCGAGCCCCAGGACCAGCCCAAGTGAGTGAAACTTCTTTACGAAAATGCGACACTCGAAAGAGATAAACACATGAATATATTATAGGATTAAGCCAGCGAGAGAATGATAATATACATTATACAGGAAGTGAGAAATAATAAAATTATTTACTGAATAATATTTTATGTATATTTATGTCAAGTAAAATGTAAAATAACTTCTAAACTTGGTATAAATATTATATAAAAAATAAACCTTATAATTATCCTACTCCTGATACTCTATATTCATCTCATTCGCTCCTAGATTACTTTTCGGCAGTTTCACTTCTACCGTGTGTGAATTGCACACACACGATTTTTTTTTTCAAACTTGACGTTGAATGGTTGATGTCCCTTCATCGTGCTAGTTCTTGTTGTTCAAATGACTAATACTCGTACTTGTTGTACTTTACAGTAGAGAGATTTTTTTCTACCTTTGTTATAAAAATTAATGTATTTAAAACATTGATATACAAAAACCCAAGAAATGCATTTAGCGTTTTAAAAGTCTCCTCGAAAAGAAGCGCAGAATTCGAAATTGTGTGCTTTTTTAAAATCTCTTTTATTCATTGTTTTTCTGATGACAACATTGAAACGCACGTTTTTTCGTTTAAAAATGTATTTTGTGCGGTGTTCGTAAGTTTGAATTTGTGTTTAGACAATGATAATTAGGATGTGACATAACGTCACATGTCGTCACCGCTTGTTTGAAGAAATATTTGCTAGGAAATGTGAATCTTATAACTTTTTCTAATAGGGAATATTCATGATTTTTTTATCTAATAGCTTACACCGTTATATATGTAATTGTGAAAAACATATCCAGCTCTAAAAAAATAGTTTAGATTTTTTTAAATATATTATACTCTTACGTATACTTTAAACGGTAGCCACTTCGCGCGCTTGGCGTGACGTCATAGTATGATATACACAGAGAAATGACGACTCAATTTGTAAGCGAAAAAATCGCTAATCGCTTTGTTATGATATTACCTGACATCATATTCGCTTTGAACAATCGCGTTGCGTTTTAACTACTTTGAATTTTTCACATGTTTTTGCATTTTTTAATAATTATTTTCTTAATACTTTTTTAGATTTATCAGAATATTTGACATTTAAAATAAAACTATGTTTTCGGATTATTGAGCAATTTGTTTAGATTTTTTGTTCCAGCAAACACGGTCTCCTGTGACCATGATTACTGTGAAAGCATTTGAAACGTCGGGTACCAAAAATCAAAATAAATCCGCGAAATAATCCGAAAAGATAGTTTTATTTTAAATATTTTTCTTTATAAAAAAGAAATAATATTAAAAAATATGCTTAATTCAAAACCTCCCCCTCCCAGCCCCTATAAAGAAATATTTCACTTATATTTAAATAACACGCGTAAACATGTGCTTCTTCAGCTGGCACAGCAACCTGGAGCGCACGCTGTGGCCGCAGTACGTGTGCGGCGTGGCGCGCGCGGCCGCCACCGTGGCGCGCGCCGCCGCCGCCGGCCGCCCCGTGCTCGTGCACTGCAGCGACGGCTGGGACCGCACGCCGCAGCTCGTGGCCGCCGCGCAGGTCATGCTCGACCCCCACTACCGCACGCTGCAGGTACCTCGACCCCTACCACCGGGACCGATAGTTTACTCGATAGACCCCTACCGTTGTCTCGCGAATTATGCTCGATCCCTACTACATTACGCTGCAGGTTGGCGACGTCTCTGATTACTGCACATGTGTTAATCGACCCCTACCGTCGTCACGCGGATTATTTTATGCCCTAATATCGGCTGTTACATTTTTACATTTATTTTCTCTTTTTGAATAATTCTGTCTCTTTGAATTGGAGTTTTTATTCTATATTTTACTGTAGTAATAAGTAGGTTATGCCAATCTTCAGCCCTCCAACTGTCTGCATACAAAAAGTAATTAATCTGTCGCGTTATTTTACCGTGAAAGTAAGACAAACAAACACTCATTACATTTATAATATTGATAATCTTTAGTTATGTGTAGCATAAAGTAATAAGTAACTCGTGGAATCATTTGAAACAATGAAAAAAAAATCTATTATCTTACGATGTATAATAACCCTCAGACTAAGGATATAATGTAGACAGAGTGTCATTGAACTAAACCTGAAGACAGACAAATAATTATATAAAGTATACAATTGACAATTTGTACATTAATGAATTATAAGTAAGTGTTAATCAATAAAAAAACGAACGGATTTTATTACAATAAAGAAAAAAAAAAGCTAATATTATGCTATCTCTCTTTCAAGGGGATGAGAACTATTGCTGGAAAATACAAAAGAATATGTTATTTTTACTGTTCATAATTCATATTTTATTCCCAAAAATTGTATATTAACTTAACTAATACATAGATAAAATTTCCCATACCCTTTAAAGAATGTAAACAATCTGTATGGCAAAATCGGAAATAGCAGCATAAACTGCAAACCACGCTACCTTTCTGACATCGACGTTTATTTTGGCGGTATATGTATAATGTATTGGTATATGCCTCCCTCCTACCAGTATTATCTATATATATTATATAATAAAACTGTAGAGGTCGAATGTCTGTACATCGAAAAAATGCTAAACACTGAGTCAGTGGTATGTAAAAAGAGACAGAACAAATCCAGTTTTTTCTTCAATTTTTTTGTTTATCTGTTGGTCTGTTTATCTGTTTGTCTGTTTGTACGGGCTAATCTCCAAAACTGTTGGACTGATTTAAATGATTTTTTTCATGGTGATACCTTATATCACCGGTCAACATTTTAGATACTTTTCATCCCGGAAAACTAAAGAGTTCCCGTGGGATAGTCATAAGACTAGTAACTTATACAGCTTAGTACACAAAAACTACTGATTGGATTTTAATGAAACTCTACAATAATATAGTTCATACATCAGAATAACAAATAGACTAATCATTATCCCGGAAAAATGTACGGTTCTCGTGGGATAGATTTGTTTTTATTTGTCTAAAGACGAACCTGAGTGAAAAGAGGGGTGAGCCGCTAGTAATAAATATATTACATTCCTAACATTAATAAAGTAGTCTGAGCAACAACAAACAAGCATTTCATTTCTCTCGTTATTACAATAATGTATACGGTCGGGTCGGGCAGGGCTTCCGCGTGCTGATCGAGCGCGAGTGGCTGGACTTCGGGCACAAGTTCGCGGACCGCTGCGGCCACCAGTTCGGGCCCGAGGACCCCAACGAGCGCTCGCCCATCTTCCTGCAGTGGCTGCACGTGGTCTACCAGATGATGCTGCAGTACCCCTGCAGCTTCGAGTTCAATGAGGCCTATCTGGTTGGTTGACTTGGTTACTTGTGGGCTTTATCACGGAATTAGAGTTAATGCAGAGATTTTTTATATTTGATGTTTTTTTGAGTTTTAAATACTGATATCACAACTCTACAAAAAAGAAATTGTCTTTGTCCCATGTTAAAATTCTAAGATTTTTTATTCGTTATGATTTAAAATAAAGGAAAAATACACATATTCCTTAAAAAGTTTGCTCTTGTGGTAGTTATGATAACAGGTAATCCTTTTTCTTGAGTTATCATATTTGACAAAAAAATTTAATAGTTCTGATGTTTTAAAAAATACCGCGAATTTATTTAATTCAGAAAAATTAGGAGAACGTTTTCATCAAGACATCACAGATTTTTAGGAAATCTGTATCTGTTTTTATATATGAATGGTTTCTAAGTATACATTGAAAAAAAAATTATACTCAATTTTGTTTTAAAAACTTTTATCTAAGAATTATTTTGACTGCTTGTGTAATTTAGTATTAGAAATTAATTATTATTACACGATGGTAATTCAGATAAAGCTCGCGACACACGTGCACTCGTGCATGTTCGGCACGTTCCTGTGCAACAGCGCGCGAGAGCGGGCCGAGTGCCGCGCGGGCGACGCCGCCGCGCACGTGTGGAGCCTGCTGCAGGCGCCCGCCTACCGCAACCACCTGTACGCGCCGCACCCGCACACGCACCACCACCACGACCAGGTAACCGCGTCACTACCACACCGACCACGTGTCCACATCACCGCCACCACGACCAGGTGACCACGTCACCACCAGTTTTGAAGTTATACTTCCTTTGCCGCGTTAGGGAAAAAATGATGACAATGATTTTTTTACGATGCAACAGAATTAGACTACAGTGTGAAGTTAGTCGTTAAATCTCCCATTAATATACTGTGAAGTGACGTCTATATTCAAAATATTTATTTTTTCTTTTTAACGCTAGTTATGTGGTGACTCACCAATTAATAAAGCTACTGTTATGAACTAAAACTCGAAGGGAGAGGTGTTCCCATCATGTTTGTTTGACTTAAGAATTAAATACTTTTAAAACAAACCCCTACTGCGTATTGTGTGTTAAATAAACAAGTGGTTCTGCGCAGGTGCTGTGGCCGGAGTGCAGCGTGCGCGCCACGCAGGTGTGGTGGGGGCTGTTCCGCGGCGAGCGCGACGCGCCGCGCCCAGCGCCGCCGCCACCGCCGCCGCCGCCGCCCGCGCTGCACAACGGTGAGGGAAATATAGTTTTTTTTAAATAAAACTGTATTTTCGGACTTTTCCACGGATTTATTTTGATTTTTGGTTCAACACGTTTCGAATGCTTTACATCAATCATAGTCACGGGAGCGACGTAAGGTTTTAGGCGTCTCTAAGGTCATTTATAGTTGTTACAGATAGTGCCTACCCATGAAATTTAAAAAAGATTTCAAAAATATAAAAAATGGCATTAAAATTTAAAATATCAAATATTCTCGAAAATATATAAGTATTAAATTAACTTAATTTAAGTATACTTATACAAGCATTTATGAATTTCCTTAGGTCTGATGACAAAAACGAGATCCTGCGATAACCTCGTATGCGAGGGCGAGAAACGCACAGCGCAGCGCCGCTGCAGCGACCCCAGCCTCGCGCCCGACGTCATGTGAGTGCACACCCTGCACCCTATACCGTGCACCCTACACTCTGCGCCCTACTGCACCCTATGCAGTTCACCCTATTCCTTGCACCCTACACTCTTCGCCTTACATCCTATACCCTGAATTGTGCACCTTATGCCCTGAAAAAGACACTCTCTGCTCTCTACATGTTACACCCTGTATCATGTATCTAATTAAATAATGAATGAACATAATCAGAATTTCAATGAGTTAATTTAATATTGTATAATTCTTCTCATTGTCATTTAAAAGTAATCTGTTATTTAACATAAATGTCTGAAATATGTATGTTTAGCAAACAACAAGTACTAAACAAGTAATTCAATTAAAAATTTGCTTAACTCATTTTAAGATGATGATCTTTAGTAAGGCTAGAGTTAAGATTTTATCATCCAAAAATCAACCTTTTCACATGACAATAAGTTACAAAATACATTTCGTAGATATTATCCTTCCAGGAAACTATCTTTGGTAGTGAATGGCAACGCGAACACGGAGCGCGTGGAGGGCGACGTGCCCACGCTCACGGACAGCTGCGTGGAGCGCCTGCCCGCCGGCGACCACGCCGACCACGACCATGTTAACCACGACCACGTAGACCACGTTGTTGACCACGCCGACCAGACTGATCACACTGACACCGATACTGACCAGGTGAACTAAGCTACAGTGGTAGAAAATATACGCAGTTTTATTTGAGGAGCTGGAGAACGAACTCAATGATCTGCTATGGTCAGTGATGGATGAGAGTGATGATAATGGTATGATGATGATGAATGACATAGTAATATCCATTTTATGGGTTTCAAAGGTTTCCTTAATACATATAAAATATATAAGGTACTTAAAAGAAAAAAAAAATTATTTTTTTGTCTGTCTGTCTTTTTGTTCCGGCTAATCACTGTTAGATAGCTGATGTTATAAGGAAGTGCTTTTATTTTAGAAAAAATATTAGGGTTCCGCGCAATGAAATTAAAACGCATGAAACTAGGGACGAAGCGAGGATAAGTAGCTAATCTAAAATAACAAACTGAAACCGTTCCAGGTGGACGGTCTCCATCCAGACCACTTCGACAACCGAGTGCGGGACATCACTAGCAACTCGTCGTCCCTGGAGCGCGAGATAGTGTCGGCGCCGACTGCGGACCTCCCGGCCCCGTCCCTCCCGCGGGAGCTCCTCAGCGGGCTGGCCAAAGACGACACTCCCGAGGAGCCCGCCGTGTTTGTGTGCGAGACGTACACTGATGTCATCGGAATGGCAGAGGTTAGTCTGAAATTATATTAATAACTAGTGATGTACCCAAACGACCAATTTACCGAAAGAGTTTTTTTTTAATACAGGATATTGACTTTTACATGTCAATTGTATTGGGTTTTACATATTACTTACTTTTAATAAAGCCGAAAAAATTTTTTTTATCGATGTATGTATATAAATCTTTATTTTTTAAATTGAAAATAAAAATCTCTACAGTAAGGTACAATAAGTATTGATTGTTTGATAACATAATCATTAAAACGATGTTTACTTTATCACTGAGTGTACAAATTGTCATTTGTGTACTATTTTAAAACGTTATCATTATTATTTGGCTTCATGTTTAGTTCTATGACACTCTGTCTGTCTGTATTGTTCCTTACTCTGAGCTACAATATTACCAACTTTATCTTTATAAATTGTAATCTATACAGATAAAAAAAATTGAAGTGTCTGTTTGCAATATCAAAATAACAGCATTTTACTAAATGCATACGAATGTATACACGGTACATATACCAAACCAACATTTTTTACAACTTTTGTCTGTCTGTTTGTTCCGGCTAATCTCTGAAATTTCTGGACCGATTTTGACGGGACTTTCACTGGCAGATAGCTGATATAATAAGGGGTAACTTGGCTACTTTTATTTTAGAAAAAAATAGGGTCCCATGAAAAAAAATTAAAACCAATGAAAAATTTAATAATATCCGATTCAAACATTGAAGTTGTATACATACCCTAGATACGAACCCGAGCGAAGCGAGGATGAGTCGCTAGTACTTACTAAAAATCTACACAAAACACGTGAAGTTGAAACAAAAATGCATACATACAATACATACAATTGATGTATTTATAATAAGTTGTGTGATACCATCCTAGACGACACGTTTGGCTCAGTTTTATTACTACTTGCTGTGCCAGCGGTCGCGGGTTCGAGTTTCGCTAGGGGCATTCATTTGTTTGATGAGCGCGAATGTTTGTACGCCACTCATGGGTGTTTATATTTATAATATGTATGTATTTAAAGTTATATATTTGTAGTGTATCAACTATCTGGTATCCATAACACAAGCCTCGTAGCTTACCATGGAACTAGATGATGATGTGTGTTAATATCCTAACATATTCATTTATTTACCATCCAGGCTGCAAGAGAGTCAGCGAGAACAAGGAACATAAGCATAACATGGCGGTCGATATCGGAGTCCAGCAACCAGTCCTCAACTGGTTTCGACATCCCCGAGAACTCGCCGCAAACCCGCACCGAACCCACCACCCTTCGGTTGCAGGACGCGGTGGACAACCACAACTCAACCGAAGGGGACGTCGTCAACCACAACATCGTGAATGAACTGACCAACCACAATAGGGAAGTGAATGTGAACGGTTTAGCGGATATTGGGTCGAAGTTTCTAGAAGTTGATTTGAATGGTAAGGTTTTTTTTGTTTTTGAAAATGTTAGTGTTTAGTCATTTTTGTGTATAACGATTATTTGTATTGTTATGAATTTAATTTAAATCCAATATAGCGTGAAAAAGTAACAAAAACACGTCATAAATTATATCTATGTAAGTTGTGTATGCTATTACTTATAGTAATAATAATAATTATTATTTGCAAGGCAGTGCTAGCCTAGTGGTAACGCGCTTGGAAAACTGAAGCAGGTTCAAATCCTGGGCTTCGTATCTGTGATATTCTCAAATGTGAATCATTTCCATTAGATCATCACATCACGTCTCACGGTGAAGGAAGACATTCAACAAACTTTGCAGTAATATACCTTATACATTAAAATAATCCTACATAGACATAATTTATAATGATATATAAAATAAAACTATCTTTTCGGATAATTTCGTGGATTTATTTTGGTTTTTGGTTCACGACGTTTCGAATCCCTTATAGCAATCATGATCACGAGAGAAAAATCCGAATAAATAGTTTTGTTAAAAATGGCAAATAAATCTAAAAAGGTATTATTATAAAGATATCATTGTATGTATTCAGCTCTTTTTAACGTCCCACTGCTGGGCACGGGCCTCCCTTCAATTCGAGGGGGATCAACCTATAGTCTATCACGCTGGACAAGTGCGGGCGGACTTCATGTCTTTCGAAAATTTGCTAGGTTCTCTCAGACATGCAGGTTTCCTCACGATGTTTTACTTCACTGTACAAGTGGTAATCATGTTAGAAATGATTCGCACATGAAAATATCAGAGGTGAGAGTCCGGAATTTGAACCCGCTTCAGTTGGTTTCCCATACGAGCGTGTTAGCATTGGGCTACCACTGCCTCTGTCATTGTATATATAAATAATATATACGTATGTCGTGTCAGGCGGCGGGTCGTCGAGCGGGCTGAGCTCGGAGAGCGAGGGCGAGGGCGCGGCGCGCGCGTCGCAGCTCACGCTGTGCCCCGCGTCCCCGCGCCGCGCGCCCGCGCCGCCGCCGCCGCCGCCCCACTGCGTCTCCGGTGAGTGGCGTTTGCTTCACTACATATATAGTATAAAACAAAGTCAGTTCCCGCTGTCTGTCTGTCCCTATGTATGCTTACATCTGTAAAATTACGCAACGGATTTTGATGCGGTTTTTTCAATAGATAGAGTGATACATAGAATGGTTTATACGTATAATACATGTATAATATGGTACAGAAAAGCCGAGAAATTCAAAGATTTGTATTCCATACTAACCGATAAAACGCAACTAGGGACGAACCCGAGCGAAGCGAGGTTGGGTCGCTAGTTTTATTATATTGTTTTTTTTTTTCTATAAATATGTAGTACGTATGTTATGGATGACCCGGTACGAGATTCTAAGTAGAGTCTCAGGAAGCGCTTTTGTAAAGTCTCACGCTACTTTTTTTATTTCACATTTAGTAATCGTATAAATGATTTTTTAGTACTTTAAAAAATTATTTAATTTAATCACTTATATTTATTTATATTGACATAATAACAATTATTATTTTCTTTAATTTATACTATGCTGATATTTTATTCTCAACCAATAAAAAATCTAATAATACACTATAACACAAGTATTTCCCAACAGTATATAATGAGGGTGTACACGATGTGGTCGCAGGCGCGGGGTCGTCGACGTCGAGCGCGGAGACGTGCTACTGCGGCGCGTGCGGCGGGTGCGGCGCGTGCGCGTGCGCGTGCGCGGGCGAGGCGGGCGCAGCGCGCGCGCGCTGCGTGTGCGGTGCCGGCGCGCGCGCGCACGCCGCGCCGCCCGACGGCCTGCCGCCCGCCGCCGACCCGCTGCAGGCGAGGCTGCACCAGATTATACTGTATCAGAAGGTAAGCTTGACACCGACTAGTCATATCCTACAGGTATATGATCTCCTGGTACACTGCCTCTTTAACTGTAGGTGCGAGCGACTGCATCAGATTGTCGCCCGCGTTCAGATGACCAAATTCTTAGGTTTTACAGATTAGTATACTCTTACAATGCAGTTTTTGTATTTTTTCTCAGAAATGAGGTATTTTCCCAGGGTAAAAAGTATCCTATATGTTGACTCGGATAGCTAACTATCACCATACCAAATTTCATCAAAATTCCTCCAGTGGTTTTTCTGTTATGCAATAAAAGACAGACAGACAGACAATTCTAAAAACTATGGAATCGGCCTCTGTATCAATAATAATGTTTATTTCAATAAGATTTTCCAAAATATATTTAATGTACAGATTCGGCTTAGTTAGAATTTTATTATATGTATAGATATCAAAAGGTGAGCTTAGCACCGACTAGTCACATCTTATAGGGTTATGGTCTCCTGGTACACTGACTTGTTAGTGCTAGTGGTTTGATGACTTGATTGTTATGGTGTCCTGGTACATTGTGGTATAGTGGCTAGTATAGTGCTAATTATAATATCTCCCGCATTATAATTATTATCTCCCGTACAGTTCACTAGTTTCTGTGATTTGGCCGCTGAATCCTAAATATTTCAGAAGGCATGTGCGTTCCATGCTTGATACACTTTTCCCTTAATTTAATTATAATGTGATCATTTATTATTTTTTCTGTAATTCTTACTTAATTATGTATTTATTTAGATTCTTACTTGTTATATAAAAATATATTTTATAGTAATGTTTATTAATTAAAAAAAAAACATATGAGGAGTTATATAACGCTATACACACTCCCATATAAGCAAGTGTTTCGGTTACGTTGTTAAATTAAATAAGATTTCATACAAAAATGTTAATCCATATTTGATGTATCTTTCAGAAAGTAGTAGAGGAGCTAAGCGGGCAGCTGCGTGAGGCGCGCGAGGCGCTGCGCCGCGCGTCGCCCGCGCCGCCGCCGCCCGCGCCCCTCGTGCCGGTAACTACAACTCCAACACTAGTGAACATATCTTATATCATTAGGCAGACCGTATATTGTGGCACCTTTGCGACACAAAACGTCTCTTATTAAAAAAAAACGTGTGTGTACTTATGTACGCACGTAAGAAGTTATATTTCTTTGGCGTAACAGGACAAAAATAGCTAAAGATTTCATCCCGTATGTCACAACTCTCTGTTTGTAAAAGTCGCTTTTTGGCTATAAAAATTTTACTCTCATAATTTTTCCCAATCGTGCCAAAAGACGTATAACTTCAAAAAGAACCACTCACTTACGATGGGGTATAATTTTGACATTTTCTCTAGATGTCGCGATCAGATCCTTGGTATATTGTAAAGCTCTTAGCATGGATGGAATTTGTTTCATTTTATTTAAAATTTATTTAAAATGACAAATTAGTGTACAGATCGTATACCATCAGGCAGACCGTATATTGTAACACCTTTTCCATATGTTCACTCTCGGAAACACTCACTAGTGCTGTAACACTAACCACTGTATTTAACTCTTCTAAAAACAAACTCAAAAAACAATATTCTATTGACTGGGGTCATAAAATCGTTGTGCGTTTTCAATAGAGCGTTTTAACTTACCCGTAACGCCATCTATTGACAAACTATGACAACTAAGCTAATTAGACGCCATATAAAAACGTCACATAATAAAAAAAGAAAAATCCATTTACCAACAATCTCAGCATTGACCGCCATATAAGGCAAACCGTATACTGTAATTTTGTACCTTTATACCTTTACCTTTGTACCTTTTTTATTGTTACCTGTAATTTTGATGAGAATAAAATCAAAATTAATTCCACTTTGAGTTTAATATATATGTATTGATTGTGCCGTTAATCCCACACTCAGCATTTATTTATATTCTGGCCCAATCAACTAAAAAAACTTTATAAACAAAGTGTTGCCATATTATTAGAATTTAAACAAATAATTTTGTCGTTCACTTGTCAAAAGTTATCGAATAAATCGATTTATCATTTAATATTCATAAGTTAAATTACAAATTAACGCTGAATAATTGTGAATTTAACCTTAATAATTAATTTAAAATATATAATATTAATAGTATAAGAACATTGAGATAAAAACAAACGACGAATGAACAATAAAATTATTTAGTGACAGATTTTATTCAAAGATTCTGGCCATATAAATAAATCTCCCCATCAGCAGGCGGCGGGGCGCAGCAACGGCACGGCGCGCAGCAGCAGTGCGGGCGCCAGCAGCAGCAGCAGCAGCAGCGCGTCCGAGGTGGAGGTGGGCGAGGAGGCGCGCGGCGTGGCGTGGCTGCCGGACGCCGCCGCGCCGCGCTGCCAGCACTGCCGCAACCAGTTCTGGCTGGCGCGCCGCCGCCACCACTGCAGGTGCGTCCGCACTAATAGTGTCCAATGAAACTAGCATACTGCAGGAGATATTATACCGCACAAGTGTGTCGATGTACGCACAGACATAACGTGTACTCTCTTCCTGTCACTCGACGACTTCACGTAACAACAATTCACGCCAGCTTCTGTAGACCTATATAAGATACACAATTCCACAATACATTATTTTGTTATATCTCAAAGGGTTTAGGCAGCGTTTTCGTTGAAAGCTCCCAGACGGCTTATTTTTTCCGACACCTCCAACAAATATCGTTATATTGTAGCCAATGTAAATAAAAATTTAACAAATTGTATACTAAAACCTTGCTCTTGAATCCCTCCTATCTATTAAAATAAACCGCATGAAAATCCGTTGCGTAGATTTAAAGATCTAAGCATACATAGGGACAGACAGATAGCTGGAAGCGACTTCGTTTTATACTATGTAGTGATTAACAATTATCATTATTATTTCCAGACGCTGCGGTGGTATATTCTGCGGCTCGTGCTCGGAGATGAGCCCATGGGGAGACCTGGGCGCGGTGCGCGTGTGCCGCCGCTGCCGCCTGCGGTGACCTCCCCGCCCCCGCCCCTCCGCGCGCTCGCTCGATCAGTGACGTTTGATGTTGCCTCCAATTGATGGTATCTTCATTTTGTATGACATTGCCGAACGTTAATTGTGCTGTTATATTGAAATTATTGAGATAAATTGAACGGAATTGAATTCGTCGATGGTATCGTTCATTCGTTCGGTTATTTTGTGATCGGCGATGTGTAGGATACTGTCTTTTGTGAATCGTTCGTTCAATTGGTTCCTCGAATTGAAAGATGTGGGTTTTTTTGTTTTTAGTATAAAGATCTGTTTAAATAGTGTTTGGAAGTTTAATTAAAACGCGCTAATGTATCATTGGTTAGAAAATATTGTAAAGTTTTGAGGAGCTACAGTCGAATTGGACACTGATCGAACAATCCACTTATTTTGTTTAAAAACTAACTTTTAACACAGTATAAAGTCCACAATTGTATGGGTTAGTACACTGTGCTTTTTTATATATAATATTTATATACCATCGATCAAAAAAATACTAGATACAACAGACAATCCCTTACAACAGTTCTCTCCAAACTGTCACCAATTGTGTTTAGTTAATTAATTATTCCAGTTAAAATAAATATACAGCAATGTAAATTAAACCTTAAATGCAACGCTTAAAGTTGATTTCATAAAAAAAAACACGCTCAAAAGTTCAAATGAGCGATTCGGTGAGGACATTTTTTTTCGTTGATTGTGTATCTGTAATTTTTTAATCGATGATATGTACATTAAAATGTTAAAGCATAATTTCAAATTTATTACTACTAAAGGCGGGTTTCCATACAAAATGTATTACGCTGAAACACATCCATACAATAGATCGTTTATGCTAGTCAGCCAGCTAACATTTGTTTTGTTATATTTATAAGAATTTTGCGTCGCGATTGCAATTCATCACTTGAAATCGATGTTAGTAATTGTTTCCACTCGGTAATAATCGATATAAGAGTATCAATCGTAATCGCGAGGCGATAATTTATCACACCATGACAGGTTACTCCCAATTTAAATTTATAATATTATATAATATAATGAAATAATATAAAATGAAGATGTAAAACCTCGACGATTTTAGGGATTTTGCGTATTTATACGCTTGTATGTAATAAAATATTTAGGAAAGGCAATCGGAAAGGGTAAAATCGGTTAGGCAAAGACGAACGATTACGAATGATATAGTCGAATATTACAATGGTCGATTATAATTAAAAAAATTTTTAATTAATAACAATCATTTGATTCAGAATGTCTCGAGATATTCTTGTAATCGGATGATCTCGTTACTATCATTCGTGACGTTCTTCTAATTCATATCAAATTGTATGGTATGTTTGGGAGTGTCGGAAGATTGTGTGTCGACTTGTGTTTCCGGTTATTTTTTGTTCTTTGACGTCGCTTAGTAACAAATTATACTATATTAATCTATTATTTGTTTTATGACGTCATGGAGTCACGTGACCGGAGATGTAAGCCGACGTTTGCTAGAACAGAGCGGGATATGAGCAGGTGTGGAGGGAAATATTTAGGAAAGTACTCGTGAAGGCTGATTTTTTTAAATATTTCTTGTAAATGTCGTACCAACGAATGCCACTAGACTGAGTTGTAAGACAAATTGTGGCCAGTTTGTTAGCGACTGTACGTGCGGTGTACAAAAGTTTACGAATCATTATTTAATTTTCATTTAACTCGTCGATTTGATATTGGATTTTGATATAATCGTTATAAATTTGTCGATAGATAACAACAATATTATACTGGATAGAATTTAAATGAATTTCCCTTTCTCTGTTCATTCACACATAGAACGTCAGAATGGAAATTGAGGATATTTAGTAATATGGTATTGAAAATGAAAATGTAGCGACATCGTCCAAGAATCGAATCTTGATCCTCATTTTGTATTTATTTCATGTAACGTCCCATCTCGCTGCTAGACGGCTAGCAGGTGTGTCTTAAGGATATGTATATTTGATTAATTTTATCGCTTTGTATAAACGCCAGACTGTCGAGTGCAAGGCTAAATGTCGATGACGGAACGTTAATAATAATAACAAAAAAATACTACTAATCAAATTATGTATAGATTTCATTAGTTTTTTTTTGTCATCTTGTCTTTTTTTTGTCATTGTTTTTATATCTGATGTACTATTGATCTAGAAATTTCTATACGAAACCGATTGTAAATATTGCCACCATTTGCTTTCTGTCATCAAACAATGACACGCCACGAACGTTAGCGTGACGCCGAGTTTTGTATTTTATTTGTGATATTGATGATAATTTTGTATAATAATATAAATAAGAGTTTTAAACATGTTGAAACAAGTTAAATCTATGGTGATTATTTAAACGTCGCCAAATCGTTGACTCGTTGACTTGTGATGACTTGTCTGGAGAAACTTTTGCTAACGAATAAGCAATAATATTGTTCAAATGACGGATACAGATTAACTATATCTACGTACTAATCTAATGCTGCTGTAAACGATTTTTGGATACTTTTTCATCGAGTCGTGAATGGCGGCCTTTATGGGGTCAGTCCTGACATAAATCATTATTTATTGCGTTTGGCACAAACGTTTCTATTTCGTACGTCTTATTTAATAATTATTTTTTTCGATTTTTGTTTCTACGAATTATGTCAAGACTACCCGCTGTGTGTTTGTTTCCGAACAGACAGAGTTGTTGTTACTGGCATATATTTTATACTGTAATGGAGCTGAGTATCTTAAGTTTTATCGTCGAAGGGCAACTTGTTTGTGACCAATGAATGACGCGATGTGAAATAAAGCATATTTAGTTTTACAATGTCTTTTATTTATATCTATATATTCCTTGAAATACTTATCGCGAATTATAACGGACAAATTGTTTTAGTATCGACATGGGGCATGTATCTCATTGCCTCGATGGTGTAGTGGCTAGCATGTACGGCTGCACACCCGGAGGTCCTGGGTTCGAGTCCCGGGTCGGGCCAGGTTTAGTTATTGAGTCTTTCTGTATAGTAAGTCTCAGTAACAGCCCGGAGTTGGGAAGTTGGCGGTGTTTCACCCCCGTGCCTCGGAGAGCACGTAAAGCCGTCGGCCCTGCACCTTAATTCTCACCGGTCGTGTCGAGCAGTCGTCCCACCGGAGTATGAGAGTGACAGGAATAGAGAGTGCACTTGTGTCTGCGCGTACATTTGTGCACTATAATATCTCCTGCGCAGTTGGCTAGTCTCAATGAGATTGGCCGCCGTGGCCGGAATCGGTCAGGAGAACATCATCATCATCTCATTTCAGTTACTTATGCCCGATTTCACCAACAACCCATAAGCTACCCCCTACATATGGGATCCCTAGCTTAAAAGTCCCCTAAACTAGCCCCTAAATTAAATTTCGTTTTACGTTCGTCTTTAAGCCCATATTTCGAGCACCTAAATTTAGGGGGCCTTTTAATATTTAGGTGACCCCTAACTGTCAGTGAAACCGAAACTGTCCCCTAACAACCCCCTAACCATGCTTAGAGGATCCCTTAAACTTAGGTGACGTTGGTGAAATCGGGCATTAGTGTTTCATACCCGTGGTAACAAACTCATAAAATGCCATCTACGAACGCGCAGTACAAACTTATTACCTAAATTCTGATTTCACATATAAGTATTATTATTTTTCTTTACTAAGATTTTATAAAACTAGAATGTTGCTTATTTGCTGCTATTTGCTATTATCGAGTTTATTTGTCAAGAGTTCGATATATACAACGCCATCTATTGATATTTATTGGAACTATTTTTTCTTTCTCCTGGTGAGGCCTCATGATAGCACTATTTCAATTTCACTTTTTACAACTATTTATACATATAATAAAATTCTAAGTCAAATCTGTACATTAAATATTTTTTGGAAAATCTTATTGAAATAGACATTATTATCGATACAGAGGCTGAATCTATAGTTTTTGAATTTTAAAATACAGAAAAGTAAAACCGATATTTCGTAAAGAAATTTTGATGCTTTAATTTTAACGTTAAAATGTTATTTTAGCACGTCTACATACAAATGTGGACTTGTAACTCGTAAGTATCAATTTTCTTCGCTAGGTGCTAAAAAAAGTTACTAACCGTAAATACAATTTTATCTAATAAATTTGAAAATAAAACCAATTTTCATTTTTGTTCATAATTTACTGTTTATTAAAGAAAAACATCTATAGTAATGACGTAAACAGATTGTAACAACAATGTATAAGAAAATTCAATAGTGAAAATATTTCAAATAATACTTTGGTACATTTGCATTCTAATATAGACTTCTATTTACATATAGTATAGACACAACAATTACTATAATAGAAAGGAGTACGCTTATTTCTTTAAAAGTTCTAAAAATTGCTAGCTTTGCGCTTGATATAGAAAAAAAATATATATTAAAATAAAAACAATTTTTAATTACTTACTGCCTTTAAAATTTTGTAAATAATAATCAATTAAAAGTATTCACAAAAAATCGATTACGAATCTTTATATCAGAAAAAAAAGACAAATGTTTAAACAAATGTGTAACCCTTAAAAAGAAAACAAATGTTATGGAATATATGGAAAGAGAGGTTTTGTATAAACGACGTAAACTTTCTACGCAACTCACAGGTACAACAAAATAACAAGTGCTTACAAATCTACCTTAGACAATACATAATGTGTTATATAACTTCAAAAAAACGTAATTCTAATATGCCTTGATCCGAGTTAAAGGTCAATAACGTTTCTAAAGAATATTCTAATACGTCATAAATAATTGAATAAATATTTTAATATAAAATTTTAAATCTTCGTATACCAAATTTGGGATTGAATTTACTTAATTTTAAAGTCACCTGTAGAAATATCAGCTTTTATAAGCATTTTTCTTAGAAACATATTCATTTTAATCATACAAATATACTCCACAATTGTTCTTTAGTCATTTTACTGAAAGTGATGTTAAGAGAAACATTCTT